TCTTCAGAATTCAGCTTGAATTCTGGTAGTTCTCTGTCATTACACTGTTCCAGCCATTCTTAAATAATCGTCAGTAAGAGTTTACTTGCATATAATATTGTTTGAAAATTTCCACATTCTGTTGGATCACTTTTCCCCCCCTATGTGATCAAATATCAATCTCTTCATAGTCAGTTAGCCAGCTACCTGTTTTCCAAATTTCTTGGCATAGACCAGTGAGCAGGTCCAGGGCTGCATCTATTTGTTGAAACATGCCAATTGGTATTTTGAAACATGCCAATTAGATCTCATGTATTGTCAATGCCTTCAGTGTATACTGAACTTCTTCTTTCATTACAATTGGTTCTTGATCATGTAGAACCTGATATGGTTTAGTGTTAACCAATTCTTTTTGGAACAATGATTCTGTATCTTTCCCTCTTCTTTTGATATGTCTTGTATTATTTAAGATTATGAAACTGGAGGCTTTGAATCTGTTGTTCAGTTCTTTAAACTTCTTTGCTTAAGAAATGCAGAGTTTGTTCTTCCTTTCTGATTTTCTAACTCCAGCTCTTTGCACATTTCACTATAGTACTTTGCTTTTTTCTTTAACTGATATCTTCTGTCCACCTTTTTCACTTCAGCACTTTTTCCCTTTATTTTGCCCTCTAAAATGTTTCTTACTCCAGTGCCAACTGTTTTTTAGGTTTTTTTAAATTATTATTTTTGTGTGTGTACTGTCAAATTGGATCTGGTTGGTACAGGAGGAAACTGTCCCTCCTTTTCCAGCAGAGCACCTGGTGGATTCAAACCGCACACCTCTGGGATTGCAGTGCAGCTTCTTGCCACTAGGCTACTAGAGCTCCCTTTCAGTTGCTCTGTTTTTGTAATAACTTGTTGCTTTCTGAAAGCAGGAGGGAGGCCTCAAGGCATTTGCTGCAGAGGATCAAGGACTGCAACCTTGAATATGGATTACATCTCAACATCAAGAAAACAAAAATCACCTACAACCAGGAAAGAATAAAACATATAAATGGGACCTTCCAAGAATCAAATCCCTATTGCATCTCAAAACTTCTCTAATAGGGTAAGAAGGAAACATACAAACTGGGAAACAAAATATTTGGCACTGACATATCTGATAAAAGATTAATATCTAAAATTTATAGAATACACATGCACCTCAAAAAGAAAAAGGTAAACAACCCAATAACAAAATGGGCAAAGAATATAAATGTCTTCACTAAAGAAGACATCCAGGTGACAAACAAACACATAAAAAAATGTTCAATCCCTAGCTATTAGAAAGATACAAATCAAAACAACTATGAGATATCATCTCACCCCAGCAACAATAGCAAATTTCAACAGTGCAGCAAACAACAAATGCTGATGAGGTTGTGGAGAGATTGGAACTCTTATTCACTGCTGGTGGGAGTGTAAAATGGTACAACCACTTTAGAAGGTGTCTGGTACTTTCTCAAAATGTTAGAAAAAGGACTATCATATGACCCAGCAATTCCACTAGTGAATATACCCTTAAGGAACCAGAGTCGTGACTCACACAGATGTATGCACATATTTGCTGCTGTGTTATTTACAATAACAGAGATAGAAGCAACTCAATACCGATAAACAAACAATGGACTACCCAGAAAAACTACCCAGGCAATGTAATACTATGAAGCACTGAAAACAATAAACTTGTAAAACATTACACAACAGGGGGAAGACTGGAGGACATTATGTTGAATGAAATAACTCTATCACAAAAGGACAAATATTGTATAATACTACTGTTATAAAATAGGAACTACATGGGTGGGGGAATTTGGGGAGAGAATGGGAAAAGAGTAGATAGATAATGAACACTGCAATAGAACAGATGATGGGAAGAACTGTCTGAAAGGAATATATGATTATGCATTATATATATGAGAACAATCTCAAACAAAGGAGAGGAGAAGAAAATATGCAGCAGTGAATGAAAAAAACCAAAAACCACAAAACAAGCAACACTTCAAAATCCTCACCACTGGGTCAATAGACAACATCATGATAGGTAGAGCAAAAGATTGAAATTGTCAATGATTTGATCTTTCTTGGATCCATAATTAACACCCTTGATAGCAGCAGTCAGGAGATCTGGAGACATAGCATTGGCAAAGTCCACTGTTAGGGACCTCTCCAAAGTCCTGAAGAGGAATAACATCAGTGTGAAGATTAAGATGTGCCTGATTCGAGCAATAGTCTTTCTAATCACCTGTTACACATCTGAAAGTTAGACACTGAATATAAGTGACAGAAGAGGCACCAATGCCTTTGAGTCGTGATGCTGGAGAAGAGTGCTAACTATGCCATGGACTGATAAAAGAACAAACAGATACGTCTTGGAGAATGTGAAACACGTCTGGAAACAAGGGTGGCATTTTTCCCCCCTCATGTCCTTTGGGCATGTTACTAGACAACGCTATTCTTGGGAGAGTGACATCATTTTTTTGAAAGGTGGAGAGTCAGAGAAGGAGAGGAAGACCATCAGTGAGATAGACTGACATAGTGACAGCAGCAACGGGCTCAAGTTTGTCAGAGATGATGAGGATAACACAAGACAGGATGGGGTTCAGGTATGTTGTTCATAGCATCACTGTGTGTTGTATTTGACTCGACAATACTTAACAACAACGTTCTAGCGCAATTTTCAGAGTCTTTTCTGACTATCATTTTGGTCTTTTCTTTCCCTCCATCTTTGTAATGACCTTTTGCCTTCGTCATTGATAATAACCTTGATGTCATCCCACAACTCCTCTGGTCTTCAGTCATTAGTTCAATGCATCAAACTTTCTTGAGATGGTTTTTAAATTCAGGTGTGATAGACTCAAGGTCATAATTTGGTCCTCCTGTGCTTAACTTTAGCTTCCTTTAATTTCAATGTGAACTTATACATGAGCAGTTGATGGTCAGTTCCACAGCCAGTCCGGGCCTTGTATTGACCTCTGAGATTGAGTTTCTCCATGCATTCTTTTCACAGATGTAGTCAATCTGATTCTTCTGTAGTCTGTCAGGTGAGGATCATGTGTACAGTCTGTCTGTTGGGGTGTGTGTGTGTGTGTGTGTGTGTGTGTGTGTGTGTGTGTTTTAAGTATTTGCAATGCATAGGTCATTTTTTTTTTCCGACTCTGCTAAATCAAGGACTTGTGCTTTCTGATTTCTAGGAGGAAGCATTCAAAAAGGGACTGCTTATGGTAAGAGAAGGCTCTCCTAGAGCTTTAGTTAGGGAACACTGGTGGCATAGTCCCTAGGGAATTGTGCTGCTTACTCAAACAAGACCCTTTGCAGTTTGAATATACCAACGGCTCCAAGCGAGAAAGATGGACAATCTCCTCCAGTGACTCGGAAACACAATGGAGGGTCAGCTATCAATTGGTTCCAACTACCCAGCAAAGAGCTTTACATTATTAAGAAAGAAAGAGAAAAAGAAGAAGAGGGATGGTAATAAGGGTTTTCAACCTCAGAAACCTTGCTGAGCATTTAAAATACTCCTTTAGGCTTACAATTTTGTCTAAACAGCAGGTATACCTCTCATTTGAATAAACAGAATCTGAAACCATTTGCAACTATAGCTCTTTCCTCATCATTCCACTCTTCATCTCTGACTCCTCTACCTCCACATAATATGGCCCTAGGATCTCATCCAGACCTTCCACTGAGCAGGTTCTGTGAGATTCCTGTCCACCTTTGGAAATACTCCAAGTGGCACCTGACATCTGCATGAGCTGCACCTTAACCTGACCCACAGGATATGGTCTCATGAAAAATCAGGCTTAACTGGCTGATTATTCACACTTAGATCCCACCGGCCCTTCCTGGATCTGATTCTTCTTTCCTTATCTTGATGTGATCAGAACATTTGTATTCCCAGAGCCATTACAAAAGATGATGAACAGAATTCCTCCTCACCTGACCAATTATATCAAGTGCCCCTACTGCTCCTCTTCTCTCTTCTCATCCTCCTTATTCCCATCAAGTCAGAACTAACTCAAGGCTGACAATTCAACAGGTTTTCAGAGGCTGTAAATCACATGGAAGGTGATTGGCCATCTTTCTCCCGTGAGGCAGGGGGTGGATTCAGACCATTTTTGGATTGGTAGCACAACTCCTTATCCACTGGGTCACCAGAAACATGTAGATACTTTCCTCCAGCCTGGTTGCCCAGGAAGATAGTTTCCTATGCAGTCCACTACCATGCTTTCCTGCCAGTTGACAAAGTCTAAACAGTACCAACCCACTGCCATCGAATTGTTTCCAACTCATAGTGACCCTGGAAGGCTGAGTGGAACTGCACCATAGGATTGCTGAGGTTGAAAATATTTTTTTAACTATGATTTGAGTGAAAGTTTACAAAGCATATTAGTTTTTCATTCAACCATTTACACCTCTTTTTGTTTTGTAATATTACAATACACACATATTTTTGAACATTTCCCACTTCCTCCTTATAAATCTCATTTCCGTTAATCCTTCTCTCCTATCCCTTCCTGCCATCAGGGATTTATCCTTGGGCAAATGATGCTCTTTTGGGCTTTCTTAAAAAGTTGGGTTTTAGGGAGCTCTGGTGGCCTAGAGGCAAGAAGCTGCACTGTAATCCCAGAGGAATGTGGTTCAAATCCACCAGATTCTCTGCTGGAGAAGGAGGAACAATCTCCTCCTATACCAGTCAGATCCAATTTGATGGTACGCACACAAAATAATTTTTTTTTTTTAAAAAAAAGAAGCTGGTTTTTTTTTTACGAATCAAGTGCCTTCCTAGTGTTATATAATCTTATCTATTGTTTGGCTTAAATGTTGAGCCACAGAGAGTAAGTTTTGTTCTAGGCTGAAAGGTGACTGAAATCATAGTTCCACCAGTCTCTACTGGACCAGTAAGCCTGGCATTTTTAATGCTTTTGAACTTTGATCCAAATCAGTCCCCATCCTTGCTTAATCAGGAACTTCTAATGTGATTCCTTTTAGAGAGATCAGCAATGGTAGCCAGAGACCATCTAGTTTTCCTGGTTTCAGTGTCAGGAAGGTGAGTTTTATGTGGTTTGTCACTCCTGTGGGCTCCTTGTATCAGTATCTGTTTTAGGAAAGCAAACTGCCATATCTTTTCCCTAGCAGTGGTGGGTGGGGGGGCGGGGTAGGGGGGTTCAAACTGTTGACCTTTTGGTTAGCAGTCAATTGCTTAACTATTGCACCACCAGGGGTCTTTTAAAAACATTTTTTCATACTATTTACAAAATTCAAATACAAATTTGAACAAATTCTATTTCCCTCACCCCCCTAACCATCAAATTGTACAATCCAAAGATTAATCCCCCCTTCCCTCTGCACATCCAGATCCCTCTGCTTCCAGCCTCTCCCACCCCTTCTGGATCCTCATACTCATTCTGCAATAATGGTTTTATACAATATTTATCCTTATGGGACTGAGTTAGTTCACTCAGCATCATGCTCTCCAGTCCCTCCCAAGTTAGGTCACACATGGAATACTATGCAGCACGCAGGAGCAATAACGTTGCAAATTATTACCAGGGCTCTTTTTAAATAGTCCAGATGCCACAAGAGATCACATTTACTTTCTTCTGGGGAGAGGTTGCCTTGTAGTCATGTACATGTGTGGGTGTGTTTGAGAAAGAGAGAGATACACAGAGAGAGAGGGAGAGAATGAATTAGGGATTGTCAAAGTTCAGAAATGGTGAAAAATGAAAGGAAGAGGAAAAAGGAAGATCAAAGTAGAGGAAGATTTTTATATTCTCATCAAGACCATATAAAGCTGTGGCTTCTTTCCAGCTCATTTTACTTATTATCAACAGATTTTACTTTATAACCCACATAGGGAGCTCTGGTGGCCTAGTGACAGGAAGCTGCACTGCAGTCCTGAAAAGCACACGGTTTGAGGCCACCAGCTGCTCCACGGCAGAAGGATGGGCAAGGCAATCTCCTGTGCAATTAACTGCCTCTGAAAACCCGCTGGAGGGTCAGCTATGGGTCGGTTCCGACTCTACGGTATGCAACACACACAACCCACATACACCCATATACACGTGTCCAAGTATGAGCGTGCACGCACACGATGGAGTATGTTCATAGCTCAGTGCATTGCTTTTTGATTCCCATTCTCACGTATTTGAGAGCAGAACTGGTCCAGAAGGCGGTTTTTTGTTTGTTTGTTTGTTTTTTAAACTGCAGTTTTCACTATAACAATTGACCAGGCTAGTCTTCATTTGAGTCACTAGCTGTGTTTGAACCACCAGCCTTTGAGGTTAGCAGTATATGGCAAACTGCTTGCACCCAGACAGAAGGCTATACAAAGTTAATATTCCGTTTTACTTTAAACATATTTTATATTCCACTTATCGCTTAGACCAATTTGGAGACCCTGTTCTGGTGGCCTACTGGCAAGAAGCTGTGTTGTAATCCTGAAGGCATGCCGTTCAAATCCACCAGTGCTTCTTCCAGGGAGAAGGATGGGCAATCCCCTCCTGTGCAATTAGCTGCCTCTGAAAACCCGCTTGGAGGGCAAAGTATGGATTGGTTCCGAGTCGACAACACACAGCAACAGTTTGGAAGACACTGCTCTGTCGTTGCTGGATTTCTTTTCTTTTCTTTCTTTTTTTTTAGGGGAGAGTCAAGTCGTTTACATGAAAACAAAATTGAGGGTGGTGGTACAAGAAGAGCACTAACTATCCAGCTGCTTAGATTTTCTGAAGCCGGAATGATGACAGCTGGTTTCAGGATATGAGTCTGGGTCCCCACAGCAATAGGGCAATTGCGATTGGACCAAGCATTTATTGAAGCACCATTTACTAAGTCTTATTCCAAGCTAAGCAGGTTTAAGGTTACACTGTAAAGTAACACTGCCTGGAATGAATGAATGAATGAATGAATGAATGAATGAATAAATAAATAAATAAATAAATTTTTTTATTTTTATTTTTATTTTTTTTTTTTAAGAGCACAAAACTGAACAGACATGCAGCAAACGACATGTGAGAAAAGGAGAATGAAAATGAAAGGCTGGGGGATGTGCACCACCAGTCCTTCAACCTCATCTCTTTTCCTGTTCCACAGGGCACCTCGCATAACACAGCCACCTGGTTCCGCGGGCTGGAGCCCGCCCTCCCAAGGAGTCCTTCTCTGCACGCAGTCCTTGGCTCTGGCGGGAACGAGGAAGGCCTGGGCGCCGGAGCCACTGCCCCTTCTCGGGCTGCACCCACCCCAGGCCGCGCCTCCCTGCGCGTGGAGAGGGCGTCCCGCCGCCGGCGCACGTGGCTCCAGCTGCCGCCCAGCGCGGAGGAGGTGGGCGGGCGGCGGCCTGGGGTCACCGCCTCGGCTCCCAGAGCGGCTTCAGCCACCGGCGAGGAGACAGCGCGGAATGGGCGAGCAGGGGTGCCAGCCAGCCGAGGTGCCCCGACCCCCAGACCCCGACTGCGTGGGGGATTGGTGGGACATGGTCAGACGAAATTTGCAGTGAGTACTTGCCTCCCAGGACGCTTGAGGTCCATCCTGGAGGGTGTCCCAGAGTGCCAGAGGGTTTAGGGTGCCCGAGATAGGGCCAGGTTGGGGAATGAAGGCAGAGTCCTAGAAATCCCGGCCTCGCTGGGCTGCAGTTATTCTCACACTCACAGTCGCAAGCCCCATCCGTGCTGAAAACTCGAAGGTTTTTCAGGAAACTAAATCTGTTGAGAAATGAAATAGATTCCAGATGGATGGAGTAAGCTCTTGTATCTGCCTTGATAAAATGTATTTCTGTGTTAAAACTAAAAATAACCCTCAAACTCATTGCCATGGAGTCTAAACCGACCGGTGACCATCCAGAGGGTTTTCGGAGACAGTAAATCGTGTTGAATGAGATTGCCCATCTTTCTTCTGCTGAACTGTTTGTGGATTCGAACCACCAGAGGGGTACTACCTTTGGATTGGCATCGTAATTCCTCATGAACTATGCTGTTATAGCTCCCTACAATACTAATATTTGTTATTCATAATTATATAGTCAGAATCAACTCAAAGCCTACATAAATTTATAAACTACAATGAGTTTTTCCAAGAATGTAAATCGCATTCGAGGATCCTGCCTATCTTTCTCCTATGCAGCAGCTGGTGGATTTGAACTACATGCCTGTGGGTTGACATCAGCACCCCTTACCTCTGGGCCACGAGAGCAGGAGGTTTGCCCATTCTTCTGTGGAGCAGCTGGTGGATTGGAACCAGGAAAATTTGGGATTGCAGCTCAGTTTCTTAGCATTAGGCCACGAGAGCTCCCTATGCTAATGTGTAGGGCATGTTTACACGTTAATCATGTATGTTTTAATCTGGGATGGTAGCCTCTTGGGTAGATAACAAAAGATGGGAAAGTCACTGCCCAGCTCTCAGTGTCAACTCTCTGTGTGAACTCTCAGGCATGTAATTATAGGACACACCTCCACGATGCTAAAGATGTACAGGACACTTGAAACTATCACTTAGCGTTATCTGAGCGATACCTGTTTACATTGTGTGTATAGGCGCGTCCATTTTTTTTTTTTTTTTTTTTACCGTTTTTCCTCCCGAGAATCCTTCAGTGGGTCCTCCATATCTGTGAGTCCTGCATAGTAGATTCACCCAGCCATAGGAAGCCTGGGACTGAGAGGAGAAATGAAGTGGTCAAAGCAAACCTTCAAAAAATTGTGAGGGAGCATGAGGTGCTGTTTACCTAGTATTTACGTTGTTTGAGGGGTTATTAGCAATCTTGCCATTGCTGCTGCTGTTATGTGACATGGAGTCTGAACTGACTCATAGCGGACCCTCTAGGGAATTCTTCGAGGCTCTAAATTGTGCAGGAGGAGCTGGCCATCCTTCTGTCTCAGAGCAGCTAATGGATTCAAACTACCTGCCTTTAGGTTGGCAGTGCAACTTCTTGCCCACTAGGCCATCAGAGCTCTATATAAATGATCTAGAGATGACTTAATATTTTTTTAAATTTTATATTGGTTTACATACCCAAGTTATATACATTGTGTTTCACACTTTCCTTCTTTCACATTATGTTTCATACAATCATTCCCATACATTGTGGTTTATAAAATTAATTGCAACTGCACCATGTCCATTACCACATCTTTTCAGGTCCCAGATGGATCTTTCCCATTTCCTTACCCCCTCTCTCTACCCACCACATTGTAAAACCTGGTGATTTATTCCCTACCTATCCTCACCCCTCTGCTCTCAACCCTTTCTCCCTAGAGATGATTTAAAGCACACTTAGGAAGATGGCTTATGATTATAAACAAACTCTCTACTGTTTTCTATGAGTGAAGACCTGATGACATAGTGCCTCAGTTTTGTCCACCTACCTTTCTAGGTGCAAAAGATAAGACACTCAGCTCATACAAAGATTGATAGCATCAGATCTCTAATGGAGCATTACCATGAGGTGAAACCAACTGATGGGTCTGACTTGGTGTGTGCATTCAGGACTCGAGTGCCTTCGCAGACTTGGAATTTGCCTGAGTCCTGGAATCAGTGTCTTATGGATAGTGAGGGATGACTGCACCCTAAAATCCCCTGAATAAGCAGCAGTATATTTCCAATCTTGTTTGTATTGAAGCCAGACACTGGTTGGAGAACTGGGACTTAGGGATTTCAGTGTGGAAGGGTGCGACTATTTCTGTTTACCTTTCTTTTTTCCTAGCCTTTTACATTTAATTTTGGCTAATTCCAAAATATTCCAGAATCACAGGTAGCAGATTTTACTTTGGCATGCCCAGAATGAAGATGAGACCACATCTTCTCTGATTCTTCCTTGGTGTGGTGCCAGAAGCCAGGTCTAACACTGTACAGGCCAGCACTGCTCCATTCGCCTCTCAGTGTCCTGACCACATGCACTTTGCACACCCCACCTTCACCTGCCTTCTTTCCCTTCTGCTACAGCTGTCTTCTGCCTGCCCCTCTCTCATGCTCTCCATAGATTTGATGACTGATTATTTAAGACCTACATGGCGGTAAAGAGCTGGCAGAGTTTTATTAGGCAGAGAATTAAAGCTGGCATCCACACTCTTGAGATCAGCCCACTTTATAGCTAATGGAGTGGGAGATGGGGGATTGCGTACCCTCTATTACTTGCCTTACTAATTAGTAAAAATGTCGAGTCTCAAGAGAACCTTTTCTGAAAGAATAGATAAAATACTAGTGCTTCCCTCATCCACAAATCTGAGCAGAGAATTGCTGATCTGAGATGTCCCAGTGCTGAGGCACAGATCCATTGCTGGTGTTCTGAATAATTTCTAATTTGGAGTTTAGCATTCTTGGGGGGCTCCAGGTAGACCAGGCATTGCTTATAGCACTGGATCTGTTGTGATTAGTTGTGACACTCAGGAGAACATTGAAACATAGGGTCTGGGGAGCTCTGGTGGCCTAGTGGCAAGAAGCTGCAACTACAATCCCAGAGGTGCACAGTTCGAATCCACCAGATGCTCTGCCGGGGAAGGAGGGGCAATCTCCTCCTGTACCAGTCAGATCTGATTTGACGGTACATGCACACAAAAATAATAAAAACAAAATAAAATGTATAAAAAAAAAGAAACATAGGGTCTAGTGATTGTTTTCACAGTGTCTTTGGAATAAGTTTAATGTGAAAAAATTCATCAGACATAGTTGCTATTTAAGGTTGATGGGCTTAGGACAGTTTCCTTTCTGCTTGCAACAATTTAAATATATCTAGTAATGAGGACTGTGGGAAAGTGTCAAGAAAAGACCTTGGGGGAACAAAAGGACTCTTCCTCATTTTTGTCTTTTGTTCTAAGTCTTCACATTTCTAGACATTAATTAGAAATCTCCATAAGAACGCTAATAAATACATTAATTCATTTGACAATATTGGTTACTTATTACACATCAGGCTCTAATCCAAGTTCCCCAGACACAGAAACAAATAAAACAAATTGCTGCTTTTTATGGCCCTCACATTAATTTTCAATTCTAAATAAAATGAACAGTGCCCACCTAGCATGCACAGATGTATAGTTCAGTAAAAAAAAAAGGTTGTTGGCTTGAGGAGCAGGGCGTCACGAGGACCCTTGCCTTATTAAGTTGGCCTCGTTGGGAGCTAAGCCTGAGAGAAGGGACCAACCAGTCAGGAATGCTGGGAAAAGTGTAGACTCCGGAGTTTGTGATGATGTTAGTTTGAACATAGCCACAGACGGCTAGAGATTAGTTGTCCAGAACCCAACCAGATGCAGAAGAACAATGCTGTGAGTTAGTGTTGATTGCTACACTCTGAAGGTTTGCTGTGGACTAGATTTTGCTTGTGGATGCAGATGTTCAAAGTTTCCAGGCTGAACACAATATCCTTCAGCAAAAGGGCTATGCTGGTTCCCTCAGTGTACTGAGTTGATAGTGATGGACAAATCAGAAACTGGTTATCTAAAGTGGGGATATTTTAAAGCAAGGGACGTGAAATAGCTAGCTAGCTTTTACAAATGTTGTCTTTGGTAAGATGATTGTGTGTGGGGGGAATCCACAATATATATGAATGTATTACAATGTAAATGAAATACAATATACATGAAAAAAAAATCTTTAAAAATGAAAAAGAAAAAAAAATGAAAGCCCCAGAAAACAAAATGAAGTCCTTCCTTCCCTTCTGCTTCCTTCTCGCTTATGATAGGAATATATCTTTCTATGAGAATTTTCAACCTGGAGGTCAACAAATATTTATTAAACTCATTCCTGTGCTGGACACCAAATCAAACCACATTCACCTTGTGGCTCATTACAAGACAAAGTAGAAGAACTGAGGGGGTTTTTTTGTTTGTTTTTTTTTTTTTTAATTTAGCTGGAGAAGTAAACAACTATATTCTCAGTGGATGTGGTAGGCTGCTGGGTTCCAGCTGCCCAGTTTCAACAGCGAGTGCATTACCAAGACATGTAATATCACATAACTGTTGTCCTCTTGGTAAGACAGAGCTGTTAATGTAAAAACAATAAGGATCAAATTGACAACCTGAGTTTGGTAAGGGGTTGAGAAGAGAGGAGAGGTCATATGGGAAGGATCTGGCTTTGAAAAAAGAAGAGAATCTTGAGTAGTATGAGGGTAAGGAGAGGATTTGCTTGGGAGGGAAGGAGGAAGGAAGACACAGGTGCTTGATGATCAAGACACACTGGCTAAATGAATGAGTATTTAGAGTGGATGGGTTTGTAGCATGTCTTATAATCTGGAATAGTTGTGCTGCCAAATTTGAGATGTGAGTTTCTCCGGAGCTGGTTTATACACCCCCAAGCATGATTTTCTGATGCCACTGAGGCTCAACCAGGTTTCACCAGTGAGAATCACCCAGTTAGGATCTGTGGCTTCTGTGGGGAGGCCGCTGTGTAGTCACAGCCGCCCCTGATCAAAGAGCAGTCGGAAGAATACCAAAGCACCAAGGTAGCCGTTTGATGCGGCTGTGAGCGGAATTGGGCTGAAACTACATCCTTCACTCAAAAAAAAAAAAAGTCTTTTAGCTTTTGATCCCCTACTGATCGAGGGATGTCAAGTTGACAGCCCCTTAGTTAAAAGAAACAGCTTTGTATTGCTGGTGCTCCAGAGGATCTGGTCATTCTGCATGCCCCCTCACCCTCCAACTTCCTTATACCCAGCATACCCTGTGGCGCTTCTCACAAAACTGCCTCAAGCAATTTGAGAGAAGGGTCCTGTATGAATTATTCTTTAAAAACAGTAACATATTTCTGTCCACCGCCTCTGCTTCCCAAGCACCCTGCCTACCTTCAAAGGATAGCTTAGCAGGAGACTAACAGGCAGGGTAACCATGAGCCCAGGGAATAGGGAGAAAGCAAGGGGAACATAGGGACAGACTTGCTTTCAGCTGTGCCCATCTTGGCTTGATCTGTGGCTCAAAGCGGCATCTCTGAGTTTTGATTTCTCATCTCTGACATCAGAACCACAATACCCCCTCTCCTTCCTACTGTCTTCATAGAGCTATTTTAAAGTATTATGAAATGGTCATTTTCATTTCTTTCTTGCTGGAACAGATTTGTATGAGCCCAGATATGAAGTATTGGAAGAGCTATACATCACCTTTAAACCATACTGCTTTGCTACTTCTTGCTGAGCTGCTCAAAAGTCATCAGAGTGTCATTATTTTCCCTTCTCTGCCTCTTGCAAACATATATAAACTCTCTGGTTTTTAAGTCACTAAAAATCTGAAGGAAAGTGGATTTTTTAGGGGTCTGTCTTAGGTATCAGAAGATGTCTGAGAATAGTGAGCATTGTTATTGTTGATAGGTGCCATTGAGTCAAATACGACCTATAGTGACCCTCTGAACAGCAGATCTGAATCTTGTCCTATCCTGTGTCATCATCATCATCTCTGACATTCTTGAGCCCATTGCAGAAGTCACTGTGTCAGTCTGTCTGGTTGAGGGTCTTCCTCTCTTTTGACAACCTCTACCCTTTCAAGCATGGCACTTCACTCTAAGGAGTAGCCTAGCAACATGCCCAAGTATGTGAGATGAAGCTTTGTCATCTCTGTCTCCAAAGAGCACTTTGGTTGCACTTTCTCTAAGACCTGTTTGTTCTTATGGTAGTCGATGGGATATTCAGTACTTTTTTCCAAACCCACAGCTCAAAGGCATACATTCTTCTATCACTTTTGTTCATTGTCCAGCTTTCAGATTCATAGCAGGTGATGGAAAAGACAGTGGCCTGAATCAGGCATATCTTAATCTTCAAACTGATATTGTTGGTCCACAATAATTTGGAGAAGTCCCTGACTCATGTACAATAGGTCTCATGATGTCCTGACTGTTGGTAGTTCGTACCAAGGAAATATCCTTGTGGATCCAAGTAAGATGAAGTCATTGACAGTTTCAGTCTTTTCTTCATCTGTTATGATATTTATTGCCTATCAATCCAGTGGTGAGAATTTTTCTTTTCTTGACATTAAGATGCAATCCATATTGAGGGCTCTAGTCTTTGGTCTTCTGCAGGAAGGAAGTGCTTCAAGTCCTCCTCACTTTCAGCAAGCAAGGTTGTGTCATGTAGGTTGTTAATGAACCTTCCTCCAATCCTAATGCCACATTATTCTTCATAGAGTCCAGCTTATTGAATTATTTGCTCAACATACAGATTGAATAGGTCTGGAGAGAGAATATAACCCTGAAGCATGTTATGTGCTGTTGAGTCGCCTACAACTAATATTTACCCTATGCACACTAGCTCTGAATGTTGTCCTGTCCTGAGCCAGTGTCACTGTCTCTGACACAGCAAACCCCACTGCCCCAGTTACTGTAATAATCCACCTCCTCCAGGGTCTTCATCTCTTGTACTGTCCTTCCAGCTTTCCAAGCATGATGTCCTTCTCCAAGGACCTGTCCCTCCTGGCATCATGCCCAGAGTATGTAAGACAGAGCTTCAAAATCCTTCTCTCCAAGGAACAATGTGGTTTCACCTTCTCCAGAACAAACCTGTTTGTTCTCTTGACAGTCCATGAAATGTTTCTGCAGCACCACAGCATTCTCTCTGAGCAGATTTTTGTGAGGCCAGCCTTTTTCTTGAGGTTCATTTTTCCTTCCCTTGGTCCTGTGTAGAACTCATCAGGACTGTGACAGCTCACAGGGATTGTCTTAGTTCTCGGCCTAGGTAGACCTGGGTACCTAGGGCGCTGCCATTCATTGCCTGTGACCTTGACCTTTTTTGTATCCTCATTCTAGAGCAAAAGTCATCTTCTAAGCTGCTGCGATGGATCTCTGGTGGCCTAGTGGTAAGGAATTATGCTATCAGCACAGAGGTATGTGGTTCAAATTCACCAGCTGCTCCACGTGAGAGAGAAACCTCTGCCAGTGCTGTTTACTGCCTCTGGAAACCCACTAGGGGGTCAGCTATGGGATTGTCCTGTCTCGATGGTACAAAGCAGCAACAACAACAAACTCCCCCTAGTCAAGCAGAGAAATTGGATCTTGGGACAGAAATTTGTCCAATGTATTTTCTAGCCCTTACTCCATTCTCAAGACTTGATTACATTGAGTAGTTTTAACTTTTTTCTTTTTTCTTCTTCTATACCATCAAATCGGATCTGACTGACAGAGGAGGAGTTTGCCCCTCCTTCTCCAGCAGAGCATCTTGTGGATTCGAAACCTTTGGGATTGCAGTGCAGCTTCTTGCTACTAGGCCAGCAGAGCTCCTTTGAGTAGTTTTAACTTTAATCAGTCACAATAGAAAAAGGAATCTATTTAAGGAATGATGTGGACAAAAAGCAGAAGCAGTAGAAGCAGGAGATGGTCCCCTTGACTTTGTCTGTCTCTTGCCTCTCTCACCTCAGACCACAGCTAGGGGACACTCTCATCCTCATGAGAGATATGCTAGGGACAGAAGTGGCATTAGCAAGCTCACATGGATGGATCATGACTTGTCTTTTGATGATTTGGGTGGTTCTGACACAGAAGACTGCAGACTACTGTCCCCACACCCACACCAGGCTGCAGCCCTGCTCTAGCCCCGTCTGGACCTCTAGCCTCCCCATTCTGATCAGGAATTGGAATCTTCTCTCATTGACTCACTGCTTCCTTAGATTCAACCACAGGAGTGGATTCAAGTGATTCTTTTTCTGATGACTTTAGACTAATAACGTAGTACCTTCCCATAAAGATTTACAGTTTTGGAAACCTGACGGTGAGTCACTGAGTCAAATCTGATTTCATTGCAGTGGGTTTAGTGGGATGTTATTAAGTGCCATCAAGTCAGCTATGACTCATGGTGGCCCTGTAAACAGGAGATCTGAACCTCGCTCTCTTCTGCACCATCCTCATGATTTCTGACATGTTCAAGTCCATTGTTACAGACACTCTCAGTCCAACTTAGCGAGGGTCTCTTTCTCTGACCCTTTACCTTTCCCAGCATGATGCCTTTTCCAAAAATCTAGCTCCTGACAACATGCCCAAAGTATGTGAGATAAAGTATGCAAAATAGTTAACGTGTAGCACTGAATGATACTATAATTAAAAACTGTAGTAACTGTTAAAAAAACCCCAAACAGCCAAATAACCCCATGATTGCTTTCACACCGGAATCAACTCATAGTTCATCCTCCAGTGGGTTTTCAGATGCTGGAAGATGTTTTCAAATTGCCTGGAAGGAAAAGTGTCCATTTTTTTTCTCTCTCAGAGCAGCTGGTGAATTTGAACTGCCTGCCTTTGGGTTGACAGTGCACCTTCTTGCTCACCAGAGCTCTCTGTAGTAACTGACTGGCTAAAAATCTGTTTCCTAGTAACTGTGAGGCCCAACCTTCTTTGGGGCTTTATCAAGGGACAAGGGACAAGCCTGGCTGCATCTGCCATACTTTCTGCTCCTCTGTGAAACTGTGACTTCAGCAGCTGAACAGGACTCTGCCATCTTGCTTTTCTTTCCTGGACCTATCATGTCTAGTCATGGTCCACCTTGATAATTACATACAGTCCTGTAGAGGTCAGATGATACATAGAGTCCTGTAGAGGACTTTGTTTAAATGTCAAATGTGATTTCCAAAATTGGTCCCTCTAATTTATCTGTATCTTAAGAAAAGAAAGACATAACTTTAACTGATTTTTTTTTTTAACTTTGACTGATTTTTAAAAACCTTCTCTGTTTCACAATATCTTACAGATCCATCCCAGGCTCATGTTCAACACTCAGAAGAAAAATTGTTGCTCTCTATAGTGACTTTACTAGTAAATCATTGAAAGAACACATTTTTCCTCCTTTGATGAAAATGCTAATTTTTTTAAATTTTTGTAAGTATCATATTTAACTTTCATGCCTTACTTGCACTCCTTTCCTCACCAACGAATTCACTGCTTTTTAAAGTTATAAGGAAAAAGAAGCCAGTGGCAAAATTGTGGCTAGAAAGAAATTATTGCTAACTTTGGGGTTTAGCATGAATGGTTGTTGGCTGTCAGAAATGCCTTGCATGAAAGTAGGAAACTAAAGGTTGTCAGTTTGAAATCACCCACGACATAGTGGAAGGAAGACCTGGAAATCTGCTACTGAAAAATTTACAACCAAGAAAATTATGTAGCAGTTCTACTCTTCTACTTTGTAATACGTAGGACCACCATGAGTCAGAATGAACTCAATTGCAGCAGGTGTGCTTTTTAAAAAAAAAAAAATTGTAAGGGGGTATCTTCAATGAAAATTTCTGCAAGCTTTTGGGACAAATAGAAAAACATAGGCTTGTGGGTAAGTTTTCAATTTAGGAAATCCATTTTCACATTAGTGTTCATATGGATACCTAAGTACTTGCTGTATTACCAGCTCTCTCACTTTTTCTTACGACCTGCATCTCTGAAGAAGTGACTGAGAGAAAGAAGGCAGTATTGATGTGAAGAATCTCCCTGTGATTTTTCTGTTGAGTGATGTGTTAGTCAAGATAACATAAAATCCTTGGAGCACATGAGTAACACTCTGACCTGGATATCCCCAGGTGGTGTTGATCCTGGCTATTTACTTACCTGTGGCTAGTGATTTGATTGTACTTGAACAAATACTTCTCGGCTTCAGTTGTAGTTCTTTTTAGTGGAATGAGCTCCGTTTTTATTGTCAGATAAGGCTAAAACTGTGGTTTCCTCCGTTGGTGGCATTTTAAAATCTTCCTGTATATTATTTTTTTCTTTGTAACTTTTCTGATGCCTACCTTAGTTAGATGAATCTTGGCTGTAAGCAGAGAGTACCAGAGGAATATCTATCTGTGTTTCATTGACTATGCAAAAACATTTGACTCTGTGGGTCACAACAAACTGGAAAATTCTGAGGAGAATGGGAATCCCAGAATACTTGATCATTCTAATGTGGAACCTATTATACTTGGACTAAGAGGCAGTCATTGAAACAGAGCAAGGAAACACTTCATGGTTCAAAATTGGGACGGAGGTACACCATGGAAGTGTCCTATCTCCTCACCTTTCCAATCAATACGCAGAACAGATTATCTGGGAAGCTGGTTAATGTGGCATCAGGATTGGAGGAAGACTCATCAACAATCTACATTACGTATATGACACTGCCCTGCTTTCTGGATCAGGAGGACCTGAAGTGTGTGCTGCAGAAGATCAAGGACTACAGCCTTCAAATATGGATTGAAGCTCAACATCAAGAAAACAAAGATTCTCATCACTGATCCAATTGTGATAGACGATGAAGAAATTGAGATTGTTAACAGCTTCAGTTTGCTTTTCTCCACAATCAACACTCTTGGTACCAACAGCCAGGAAATGAAAAGACAAATTGCATTGGGAAAGTCTGCTGTCTCCACAGTACTGAAGAGAAACAATGTCAGTCTGGAGGCTACACCTGATCCAGGCCATAGTCTTTATAATTACTTGCTATGTGTTAGAAAGCTGGACAATGACTAGGGATGATAAAAGAAGAATTGATGCCTTTGAGCTGTGGTGTGGACAATAGTACTGAATATATACACTGGGCTGCTAGGATAACAAACAGTTTCATCCTAGAGAGGGTGAGACAAGGCTGCTCTTTGGAGACAAAGATTCTGAAGCTTCGTCTCACTTACTTTGGACATGTTGCAAGGAGGGACCAGTCCTTGGAAAGGGACGTCATGCTCATGCTTGGGAGGATGGAGGGACAGTGCAAGAGAGGAAGATCCTTGATGAGATGGATTGATTCAGTGACTGGGGTAATGGGGTAGGTGTATCAGAGACAATAAGCTTGGCACAGAATAAAGCAGGGTATAGGGCTGTTGTTCATAGGGTTGTTATGAGTTGCAAGTGACTCAGTGGCACATAACAACCACCACCGCCTTAGTTTATAAAATAAAATATTTTGCTAAGACTTAATATGTTGTTATTTGTCATCGAGTCAGAACTGACCCGTAGCTGACCCGTCAGAGGATTTTCAGAGGCAATTAATAGCACAAGAGGAGATTGCCCATCCCTTTCCTGCACAGCATCTGGTGCATTCAGACCATGTGTCTTTGAGATTGCAGCACAGATTCTTACCACTAGACCCTCAGAGCTCTCTATACTAGACTTTAGTGGCTTATAGCTTCTCATATAACTCAGTCATCAAGCTGGTTCCAATTCATACTCTGCATTGAGGCTATAAAACTTAATGGAAGGAGACAGACCATCTTTCTCCCTCAGAGCTGCTGTTGGATTCAAACCACTGGAGGAGACACTTAGCCTTTTGCCTGGCAGCATAACATGCTGCACAATTCCTGTTAAGATTGACAACCTTAGAAACCCAATGGAGGGTCACTATGAGTCAGAATCAATTCAATGGCAAGTTAGCTTATAATTTAGAAGCCTACTAATTAACGTGTTAATCAAATAGATTTAATCACTCTATTAAAAATGAGAACATTAATCATTGAGGCTCATTATTTTTTCATTGTGATGAAAAGAGATAGGATTATGGGAGTTGGTAATTATTTTGTCTACTTTCTAGATAAAGCACCATATCTTGTGGATTTAAAGAAACCAGAGAAAAAGATGGCTCACACAGTAAACTTCTATGTCAAAGTGGAACCTGGGGTGTTTCTGGGAATCTGGTAAGTGCAGCGCTTGGAAGGTGGTTGCTGTGGATAAGGTCTCCATGCTGTGAAGTCAAAGGCAGTTAGTACCATGTTACTGGCCAAGGAGTTTGGTTCTCAGTGGAGGTGTCTGCAGCTTTTTTCAATTCAATACGCGTTCCCCTTATGTTGAAATTTGGCCCCGTTAATTCTGCTCTCTATAAATTTTACTTTGGCATGGGAAGCTATTTAGAATTTGTCCTTCACTTTGGGTCTTTCCTGAAACTTGAGAGACCAGGACCTGCTCACCTGTCCTGCTCATTCTGTTCCCCCTTCCTCACCTTGATGTCACGCTGGGTCTTCCCAGATATTCTGCATCTGGAACTCTTCCTTGTACCTCTCTTCATTCTTCTCTTTGCCCTTTTGGTACCTAACTGCCTACTCATCTTTTGGGTCTCATTGACCCAAATAATGATTTTCATAGAAACCCTCTCTCATCTGACATCTTAGGTATATGTTCTTATGACAATAAATAATTGTACTTGATGTTTTTCACATTATAATTAATGAAATATGTAAATTTTTTTGCCTGCCTTCAATAAATGAGAGACTTTGTTGGGTTTTCATAGCTCAATCTGGTCTTGACCCCTAGAAAGATCAGAAGAAGTGATGAGTGTTTACTGTGTTTTTTTGCAAAACTAATTTCAATCTTTTATTCTATTTGATTCTGCTTGTTCTTGCCTGCCCATTTCTTAGTACCTCATTTATTTTCTCATCTTCCTGAGTTTAAATATTTGATTATGAAATTGGGCAGTAACGTTTCTTCCTGATTTGCAGCGTACAGTTTATATATAAGGTTTCCATGTTATGAAGTCAGGGGCAGGGAGCTGGTGCCGTCCTACTTCCTTACGCATACAGTCATGGTGGTGTTGGAGCTTACTCACAGCCGACCCTCCAGCAAATTTTTGGAGATGGTTAATCTCATGAGAGGAGGCTGCTCATCTCTCTCCTTTGCCTTTGGGTTGGCAGTGCAGCTCCTTAGTGCTAGGCCACCAGAGATTCCCAGTTAAAAAAAATGTTGTGTACTATTGAGTCAGAACTGACCCATAGCTGACCCTCTGCAGAGCTTTCAGAGGCAGTTAGTCAATCATGCAGGAGGAAATTGCCCATCTTTCTCCCATGGAACAGTTGATGGGTTTTCAATTCATTACTAGTAAGCCACCAGAGCTCCCTAATAATGTTGTTGGTTGTTTTTGTTTGTTTGTTTGGTTGTTTTTCTTTTTTCTTGTTGTGCAGTCAAATGGCTCCAGCTGGCAAAGAAGGAGATTACCCCTCCTTCTCCAGCAGAGTATCTGGTGGATTCGAGTTGTTGTTGTTGTTATGTACTGTTGAGTCGGAACCAACCCAGAGCTGACCCTCCAGCGATTTTTCAGAGGCTGTCATTGCACAGAGATTACCCATTCTTCTCTTGCAGAGCAGCTGGTGGCCTCGAACTACATGCCTTTGGGATTGTAGAGCAGCTTCTTGCCACTAGGCTACCAGAGCTCCCTAGTAATAGTACAACAAAAATAATTTTTGTTCTCCACTCTTGCCCAATTGGTCCTCATGTTGGTGAGTCATCAGTAATCCTGCTGGCAGTGGTGCTTGAATTCTTGGATTTTTTTGCCCTGACATTATTGAGAGAATTGAAGATTTATCATCTCATGCCTATGTGGGAATGTGCATTTTCAGAGTTCATTCATTGATTTAACAGGTGGAGGAACTGGAACTCACAGAGGTATTTAAAATGCAAGATCACTTGTTTTCTTGAATAAAATAATTTAATTTTATGTTACATTTTGGTATCTTTTAAAATTATTTCCAATTTATCTTTTCAACTAAACCAATGGCTGATATCAAATATCTTTTACCTATCTCCATCCATCTTTTTTTTTTAATTGATTGCATCAAAAAAGTGCGGTTTTGGAAGATTACTAGATAAAAGTGTCATAAATGCTAAAACAGTCAAAGGCTATAAGAGGTTGTCTGCCCATGGGAAAGGTGGGTGAAACTTGAGGGAGGGCAGTGGTGATTTTTATTTTAAGTGGTATTTTATGCTTTTAGATCTTTATTTTGACTAGGTAAATATATCACTCACATTCTTTTTTTTTTAGTTTCTGTTATTTTTACTTTTTTGGTGAGAAAAATTTGTATTTATAATTAGCTAGCTGGACTCAGTTTAGATGGTCCTAATTTTGTTGGCAGCATCCAAAGCATTGTAGCAGGAGTAGGCATTGTAGGCCTTCTTCTCTCCATCAGGCCTAGTCATAGTGTTGACCTTAGCCACATCGATGTTATAGAGCCTCTTTACAGCTTGTTTAATTTGGTGCTTGTTGGCCTTGACATCCACAATGAACACAAATGTGTTGTTATCTTTTGTCTTCTTCATGGCTGACTTAGTGGTCAGGGGAAATTTGATGATGGCATTGTGGTCAAGCTTGTTTCTCCTGGGGGTGCTCTTCCAGGGGTATTTGGGCTGCCTTCAGAGTCTCAGCATCTTAGGCCACCAGAAGGTGGGTGACGTGTGAATCTTCTTTTTTTGTGGTTGTGGATGTCCTTCAGGACTGCCTTCTTGGCTTTTGCTTTGGCTTCGGTTTTGGGAGAGGCAGGAGCTTCCTTCTTCGCTTTCGGTGCCATCTTTGCAGAAAGCAGTTTTTGTTATTTTTAAAGTAAATTTTTATTTTATACTGTTTTATTTACAAAGCTTGTATACATTGTTTTTCACACCAGATCTTTCCCATTTCCTTTGCCCCTCCCCACATCAAATTTTGTGACCCTATGATTACGCCCTTGTCCATCCTTGCCCCTCTGCTCCCACCCTCCTCACTTGGATTTTTATGTATATGCTGTTGCTGTTTGCTGTCAAGTCAGAAACTGACTCAGCTGACCCTGCAACAGGTTTTCAGAGGCAGTAAATTACATGGGAGGAGATTGTTCATCCTTCTTCTGTAGGGCTGCTGGTGAATTTGAACTGTGTGCTTTGGGATTGCAGTACAGATTCTTACCGTATGGTGGTGGTTGTGTACCGTCAAGTCAGTACTAACCCATTACTGACCTTCTATTGGGTTTCCAGAGGCAGTAAATTGCACAGGAGAAGACTGACCATCTTTTTTCCTGCAGAGCATCTGGTGGATATGAACTGCATACCTTAGTGTTGGCAGTGTAATTCTTACTAAGCTATCAGATCTCCCTAAGTATGTATGTGTGTAATATTTATATACAAACACACATCTATATCTAAACAGCATGCCTCTTGAAATTCTGTGAACTTCAATAAATTGTGATGGTTATGGAAGGGCTTCAGGCCTTTTTTCATGGGATTGCTGAGTCATTCTCAACTTGATGGTAATCAACAACATATACACATATATGTATATTATATATACAACATATATATATACACACACATACATAAACGTACTTGAAAATATATGTTGTTCTTGTTGACTGATGCCCTTCTATAACTTCCGACATTTATCAACGTTTATAGAGTTTCTGGAAGCATGTTGTTTAGGAAGTGGATGCCGCTCCTGATTCCAGTATATAAACACATAGAAATAGACATATGTACATGAGGGGAAGATACACTGACAAACTTCCCGGTTTCTCGGAAGAGCACCAATGTCTCCACAGGGAGCTTTCAGACTTCAGTGTTTGACAAAGACAGAATTGTGCTCTGTGTGCGTCCACATTTGCTGAAGGCTCTTGTTCTTCAGGCACACGGTCCCCAGCTGCCGACATGAAGATGCTAAGGAGAAGGACCGTTGCTGGTATGAGGCGGCCCTTCATGATGGCAACCCAATTGTCATTTATCTCCATGGCAGTGCACGAAACAGGTCAGTGTTGTAGCCTGGAAAACTTTATCAATACATGAACATTTTAGCCTCGTGGAGGAGTAAAGAGCAGAGCTCAGTTTTTAACTCTGTAAGCATACCTCCATATATTTTTTCCCCCCTTTGTGGACATCTGAGATCACTTCTTTTAAAATCTCAGTTCATGTGTAGAATAATGTGGCTTTTAAACTTAGAATGAGAAAACAATCACTTGAAACTTTGCATATTG